TGATCAAATAAATCATTGATTCTAGGTAAAATATCTTTATTGTCAACTTGTTCAATTCCCGATAATCAATACACATCTGTATCGACTCATCTTTCTTCTTTACAAATAACACTAGAGCACCATAGGGAGATGAGCTAGGTCTGATAAATAGCCCTTCAACTTTCACCACTTAACCAAAACAATCCTCAAACTTGCCACAAATATAACCATATATCACATTTTTACGATATTCCACCATAAACAAACCCGGCTTGGGACCCGCCCGGGTTTTTATTTATAAACTTATTTTTAAATGTATATGAAAATGTATTTGATTGAAGACCAAAATGTATTTTTTAAGTATATTTTATTAAGTATATTATGATAAAAACATATTTTTAGTGTATTCGGTTGACCTATTTTTAAATTATATTTGATCGACCAAATTCTTTATAACAAAAACAAAATTTTTTAATGTTTTTTATTGACCCAATTATAGTAAAAGCGTATTTGTTAGTGTATTTGATTGACCAAATTCTTCAAAAAAAAAATATGTTAAAGATCGATTTAAAAATAAAAATAAAAAATTAAGTGGGACCCATTTAGGCCCGGCAGGGACCGGGCCTCTTACATCTTAACCGGGCCTTCCCTTTTTGACCGGTACCGTTACGTTGGATTGGTCCGGATTATCATTGTTTTGGTCCAGGACCGGTTTTTGATCATGTCTAATTGTTAATAATAAAATAATTAAATATTTTTCATACAATATGTTGTTTTATATTTATACTAAAATTATAATGACCAAAAATTTTAAAAAAATAGTTGTATTAAAAATATTTTAGTTATTTTATATTAAAACAATAACAAAATAATATACCTTTTTTATCTATTAACTTCTTTATCAAAAAATATGTAGTTTTATTAAATCAAAAAGACACAAATACCAAAAAAGAAAAATAAATAAAAAAGACTAAAATACCCCCAAGTTAATGGAGGGGTTTTAAAATATTTAACCACATGGACGGAAATAATAAATTACAAATCATAGAGACAAAAATTGCAATTTCAAAATCAAATGAACGAATATTATAATATTTCTCAAACCACATCGATAAAAAGTGTAGTTTACTATAAAAAAATAGAATAATGTATTTTAAAATCAAATTCATAATAAATCATTTATTAACTTTTTTTATCAAAAAATATATAGTTTTATTAAATCAAAAGGACAAGAATACAACGAAAGAAAAATAAAAAAAAGACTAAAATACCCCCAAGTTAATGGAGGAGTCTTAAGATATTTAGCCACAGGGACGAAAACAATAATAAATTACAAACCATATGAGCGAAAATTTCAATTTCAAAACCATATGAACAAAAATCACAATATTTCTCAAACAACAGCTACGAAAATTATAGTTTACTCTAAAAAAATAGAAGAACGTATTTTAAAATCAAATTTATAATAAATCGTCATTACATTAATTATTAATATTAAAAATCAAATATATTTATCATTTAATAATAAATGTGCACGTAATAAAATACATAATTTAGCCATTATAAATTTAAGAATTAACAAATAAACAATAGATATAGAAAATAATAAAAATGTAAAAAAGAGTTGGAAAAAAACAAAAATAATAGTATATCAAATCAATTGCATTATAACAAACAAAATAAGAGAAACAAAATGACTTTAAATGGGTTGAAGCATCAAAAGTAGGGGTGTTGGCAGTCCAGTTTGGACGCTTTAACCCCTCAAACCACAAATCAAACTGCAATGACACTTTAAGAAATTTTCCAAACCGAGCGGTTTGGTAGCAAGTGACCAAATTAGTCAAACCAGACCACAAAAAAAGCAGTCCGATTTAGGCGGTTTAGCCTTCTTATGACTTTAAACTAAAAAAAACATAATATCTATATTCAAAATGAAATTTCTACTGATATAAGATTATTAAAAAAAATATGATACTAAATTATAAAAGATACACCTATTTATATAATTAAAAAACATTGAACAAGTTGAAAAAAAGTTAAACAAATCTATTAACAATAGTTGGAATTTTGATCAAATATTGAACAAGTCGAATGATGATTTGAAAATTTGGGTTTGCTTTTAGATAAAATTCGAAAATCTGCTAATTTAGATGATGCGGTCTATTGAGAAATGAAAATTAAATACATAATTTTTTGGATGAACATTTTTTTTATTTGTATCATAAAGTTGAGTCTCTAACATGAAAATTAAATACAATAATATGTACATTTTTATGGCGGTCGGTTCGGTACAGACTGCTGAAATAAATGCTCAAATCGCAGACCAGAGTGGATAGAGTGATTTGACTATTTTTTAGATAATATTGAACCTCCAGACCACTCAAATCGTAAAAAACGATTTGGTTTAACTAGGTTTGATCGATTTGAACAATCCAACGTCTTTTTTGAACGCCCCTACTCGAAAGTTGAGGCCATTCGAGTTTAATTGACGAGACATTACCGTCTCTTGGGTATGGGGGCACATTCTTCTAATCATTGGGGGCCTTTTTTGTAATTTAAGTATTTTTTAAAGATACGACCCTAGAGGATTTGTTGGGGGCATTTACCCCTACCATTATGCTCTTCATCCGCCACTCCCATCGAGCACCTTTTAGTACAACAAATCAATTAAATAAGTTTCTTATTAATATTAACGTAGACCAGAAAAGGATTCGTACAATACAACGAAATATATCTTGATTTCAATGATTTGTTTTGTTTTTTAGTCTTTGTGGATGTTATAATACGAATTTAAGCAAACAATATTGTTTTTCTTAATAAAATATAAATTAATTGGTGTACGCAACAAGTCACATCTCTTTTTATTAAACTGTGACGATATGGGGCAGGCTAATGGCATCCCTACCCCTTAATAATGGCACCCCTATCCTCTATATATAATGATTTTTTTGTTTTCTTTTTGAATTTTTGTCTTTTTGTTGTCTTTTTCCTTTTTATACTAATTTTCTTTTACTCATTTTATTTAATTGTAAATATATTATTATTACAAATATTATTTATTATTATGTAAAAATATTATTACTGAAAAAATATTATTTTTTAATCAAAATTTCTATTAGAAATATTATATGTTTTATTTTCTCTTTTAATATTTTTTTTCTTAAAAGACCAGCCTTAAAAATGTAATCGTTTAATAGTTATTTATTAAAAATAACAACAACCTTTTTATATTACCAAACTACATATAAATTCAATATAATGATAATATTATCAGATCTTTACATATTATAAAAAAAAATTATTTAACAATTATCTGGATAGATTAAAAATCAAGGAAACTGTGACTTAAAAATTGTATTTTCACTTATTTGATCTGTGAGACAAGTAAGTCATGATATGTAGCATTTCGGTTGAAAAGATCAAAGTAACCAATTTTTAAAAGTTCGATGATTTATTTATTAAAAAATAGATATAAGAATGATTTTTTTTTGTAAATAATTATGACTTAGTGAGTTGCACGACATTAACTCTTTTATTTTATTTTCTTCACAATCTTTTAATTAAATCATTTTAAAAATATTAAAATAACCCAAGAATTTTGAAATTCTACTCTACGTAAAAGTGATTACATTTTTTAAGTCATTTTATAAAAATAACTTTTAAATTATACAATTTTAAAAAGATTAAAATAATTTAAGTAATCAGTTTTCTACAAAGCTCAATCATTTAACTATTAAAAAAAATAACGACTTAATCAATCAACATAAAAAGAGTTCAACAACTTATGCGGTAAAAAAAAGTTCAAGAACTTAATAATTCAAAATGGAACAATTTTTTTAATATTCTAAACTTTTTTCTTAATTTAAATTCAATACAAATCATTTTATAAATATCTCATCAATTAAAACAACTAATTAATTATAATAA